TCTTTTCACGTTTTGTCGAATTTCGCGATATCGCCAGCAGTAAAGAAGAGGATTTAACGACGAATTGAGCAGAATGAAAAAGACTGACACGTGATTAGCCACCATAAAGGACAATTTAGATTTGTCAGTTATCAGCAAGATTGTAGTACACGAGTTTGGAACATAACAAGCAATGAAAAGAACATAAACAAACATTGAGTTCATCGCTGATTTCTTGGCTCTGAACACCTCCATTGCTTGATCATTGTACAGCTGACATTGGGTTAGTATTTGATTCTGATGATGTCTGACAACTCTGTAGATGTGAACATATACCACGGTTGTCACGAAAAGTCCATAAAATTCGATGACCGCAACCACCGTGAGATTATGCGGTTCAGGAATTGAAAGGAATATAGAGGCAGCGATGGCACTTGTTAGCCACAAACACGTTAGGGTAATGTTAACACGCTTTGAAGTGACGAGTTCTTGATACCGCAAATGGAGAGAGATGGCGAGGAATCTATCAACAGCAATTGCAGTCACGGTTAAGTACGATGCTGTAACTAGAAATAATATAAAGAAAAGATAAATAGTCAAAAATGTAGGACAGAAGATGTCAAAGTTGTAGTTTCCACTCGCTACCATCCGTAAAATCACCGCGATGTTCGCACCAAGGACCAACTGCGGAATCAGTGCTACAGCAAGATCAGAAACAGCTAGGCTTAGAAACAAGCTCTTCAAAGTAGCGGATATGGATGACGCTTTCCACAGTGCTCGAATAACAAGGAGATTTCCAAGAGTTGCCCCGACAGAAAATGTTAAATTTAAAACACTAGAGACTAACATTAATGTTGCGTTAAAATGTGCAAGTGTTATATATTCCTTCAATTTAAGATTGCAGAGCTGAACAACCATGATTCGGATGATTCCAAATTGTCGTCGTAAGTGAGTTCAGTTCAGGCTATTAGCTAAGATCTTCAATTGGCGGGGAAAGTAAATTTTACCAGTAATCTATTCCATTTTCGTCATACCCATTAACCACCTACCAATGACCGAGTCATTAATAAGTTGTTGCATAGATAAGCTGTTTATCATATATTGATCACGTTGGTTTGACTATTTTTTTCAAATTTATTATTTAACACTTCTTT